AATGACTATGCGAAGCCAACTGATTGATTTTTAAATATTGACAATATTTGTGATCTGTCTTTTTACTTGTAAGTAGTTTATCTAAAATCAATGAGTAATGTTATTTATTATCACTTACGATATTCATCGTGTTTAGACGATCAAAATTGTATTTGACAAGAATTGTGAGAACTAACATGAACTCGATAAAATTGATTTCAAAATATTTATTAACATGTCAATATGAGATTAGCGCTCCTTTTTTTGCAACTTGATTAGGTTTGATTGTGACTTAATGTTAATTATTATTGTCACAAGTTACGTACAAGGACAAAAGTAAGGATTTGCCAAATTTAATTTAGGTTATGTTTTTTATAGTTGGAAAAAAAATATTTCAAGATTCAACAACTTCAAAATTTATATGTTATTTAATACTATATTAACATTAAATTATTAAAACTTATTGAATAATCTAATTTCTTGAATAAAATATTATTAAAAAAAATTCTCAAAATTTCAAAGTAAACGCGTTTTCCATTTTTATGTTTTTAGAAAAAGTTTTTCAGAATGGTAAAAAGAACGCATTTTCAGAAATTTCAAAATAGACACTCAAAACACAAAACACAAAATGAATTCAAAACTCAAAACACAAAATTGAAACACAAAGAGAACGACCCCTAAGCTTTCGTGCTAATAACGTGTTATGAAAAGGAGAAAAAGAGAAGAGAATAAGAGAAGTCAATAAACTTGTGTGTATTATAATGAGAACCAAAGCCCTATATTTATAGGGAAGGAATAGAGATACATATGGTAATAATATCTAGGGTTGTAGGAGTACAATTGTCATTCACCAATAACTTACTATTTACAACAACTTGTATATTTTATAACTAAAAATTATAATTTTAATCAATTTTTGAGTCACACATTTCATCAATTTATATTAAAATTTGCTAATTTTTTTTTATCTAAACTGTGTCAAACGACCCCTTAATTTATTAAACAGAGTTTTTAAATTATTTTTTCATCAATCCAAACAGATAATGCTTTTAGAAGTATATCTCTGAATTATAAACGAAATAAAAATATGATAAATAATAAATTCAGTTATGATAAGCTGGCAAAATAGTAGAAAAGAAGCAAACTAAGGTCCGTTTGGCATGTCGTCTGAAAAGTCAAAAGGAGATTTTGAGATTCAATGTGACTTCTTCTAAAAATATTTTCAAAAACTGGTCTAATTTAACTTCTTTTAAAAGCACTTAGAATAGAATTTTTTTTAAAAATTAATTTTCAAATAAAAAAATATAGCTTTCTCCAAAAATTCTTCTACATAAAACAAAAGTAAAAGTCACGATAAACAGATCCTAATATGGATGACAATGTGATGAGAAGTCTTCGATCCTCGTGAGGATCAGTTTCAAAGGATCAGGACGAAGATGGAATCAAAATCCTTGCCCGAGTATGGGACGGGGACAATGGCCATTGCCTCGCTCTCCTCTCACCCTAAGTAATATATGGTACAATTTAAAATTTTACCATGCTTTTCATAGAAATGGTTTATAAATATATTTATAGTTTAATTTAATTTAATTTATATAATTAATTAATATTTTAAGTGGTGAGGGTGCGGGGATGGGGACGGGAAAATTACGAGTGACGAAGGATGATATTTCTGTTCTGCTGTTATTTCTATATGTGGATGGGCACCTTGTTTCTCGGAGCAATATCGACGCCTACTTCTTGAAGAAAAACTATATTAGATATTAAAGCATTCAGGTCGAATGAGAAAAATGATTGGACGTTCTGAACCATTTGTTGCTTAGAGCAAGAAAATACATATGGATGGAACTTGCCTCTTTATAGGGTCGTTTGACTAAGTTTAAACGGTTTACTTATAGTAAATTATCTAAGTCCCTATTTGGTACACATTCTCTGAAAATACATTATTTTAAAATTCATTTTGAATCACACATTCTTCAATAAAATAATATTTTTCATCACATCAATAACTTTTTCTTACTTTTTAACCATGTATTTCCCATTATATCACTATTTAAAATACATTCTTTAAATAAGTTTTAAAGCAAAAAATTACTTATAACTAACTTTATTAAGTTACTTTTACGCATAGCCAGACGACATAGATCTAGTCAGCCACTAGTGCTAGCCGACGAAAATGATGACACAAAAAAGAGATCGTTTGAAAAGACATTTGAAAAGTCAAAAGCTGTTTTTAAGACTAAAAGGTCGTTTTTGAACATGTTTGATGATTTTTTAATAGTTATTTGTCTAGTTAAAAGAACCTTTAGAGAAAAATAATATAAAATAGATTTCTCAAAAAACTCTTTTACAAAAAGTAAAAGCAGAAGTTTTGTCTAACAATCCTTAAATATATTTCCAGGAAGCTGACGAAGGAAATGCCATTTTTTAACTGAAACAAAGACTAAACTCTCATAGGTAGATTAATTCTTAAGCTTTAACTTTTGGGGTATTTGAGCACTTATGTTGTCTTTTGATAGACAAGTTGCACGCAAAAGGATTTATGCACTTTAAAATAAAGCCAAGTCAAGATATATATTCCATCACTCAAGCCAAGTCTACAACATAACATTACTTTTTTGAGGGAAAGACTTGGAACTGAGATGTGTATATGGTAGGTGACTAAACAACCATCTTCTTCTGCATTTTTAAATAGTTTTAGGGAACATCAATCATGTTTCCATCCAACTTAACAGACTAATGACTTTCAACAACCCTTTGATACAATATATTCACAATCCTTATACAGTCGAGTAGTACTACGTACAAAATGTGCATTATAAAGTTCCCGCATAGCTTGCAACGAAAATATATCTGATTCAATATGAATAAGCACAAGTGATTCGATTCAATTAGAATGATATAGGACATGACATGAAGAATGTTTCATCTTGTTGATACTAGACAAAGACATGGAAACTAAAAGAAAATTCATTATACTACGAGTAATATGAGTATCTGCAAACTGGAAAGGTATTCAAAAGATGTATCTAAAATATGAATTCAATCTTGATCAACTGAATCTGTTTATCAATGCATTATCTCATGGAAAATGTGGATCAAGTTAGTTTCTCAATCTGCAATAATCAGCTCCTCCTTGGGCTCATGCCAAGTCTCGAACCACCATTGATCGATTTTAACACTTTCATTTTCGCCTTCATCAATAGTAATAGGTAAGTTAAGATCAAAACCGCCATCCATTGCCACAGATTCAATGGTTTTGTTCCCTGTAAATCCAGTGCAGTGAGCCCTCTTGTGACCACCCAAAGCTTGGCCAGATGAAAAGATCCTCGAGCATGTTGGACACTGAAAACTTGCAATAACATTGCATTCTATCTTGGAATTAGCTTCAGCAATAGCTGATGGGCAGGTGTCCACCTCGACTGAAGAGGTACTACCAAGCATTTTCAAGCCAAATTTCTCGTCAAAATCTATTGACATTTTAGAATCATGACCATCAACTATTGTTTTGTCACAACAACTAGATTTCAACACACTATCATCAGAAATTTCTGAATCAACTTTCATCTCATCTTCACCAGAAAAACCCAAATTCAAATAGTCTGAACAAGGCAAGTACTTCTCAGAAAAAGCAATTCCAGAGCCAAGAATGCGAGGATCGAGCTTTCCTACTAATTTATCCATCTTACACACCTTGTCGACATCAAATGAGGAATCTCCACCATCATTCATATCAATTTCTTTATCTTTACAAACTGATTCATCTCTAAAATATGCAGAATCATTACCAGTTGATTCTGTAACTGCATTAGACCTATCCCAATTCTTCACACCCCTAGACAGCATTATCAAACACAGAGCCACCTCTTCTACTTCCCCAAATTCAACTCCGCTTGATGATGGAGTAGGATCAGTCTTATACAATATCCTCGATCGCTTTCTTCGAAGAGGACACAAATTACCCAATTCATCAGTGCCTCTTCTTGATTTGTTGGAGTGACTCTTCATATGACCAAACAGGGCTCTCATTGAATCAAATCCTTTGCCACATTCCTTACAGTGATTCTGATTCGCCACGGATTTCTTGATTGAATGACATCTCATATGACCAGACAGAGCTCTTAAAGAGGGAAACACTTTGCCACATTCTTTACAAGTTCCATCCCTTGGTGTATCTCCATGTTTTCCATCAAAAGTCTTCCAAGATTTTTTTGGATTGTCCCTTAATTCGTAGCTAGTTTTCGGATCATCATCTCCCAAGCCCATGTTGGTCCCACAATTCTTGATCTTTTCTTGATCTAGATATGTGCTGTTTGATTGATTCTTCGAGTTCTGAAAACTACCCTCTTGAATCTCTTGATCATCGGCCCCTTCCAAATCCATTTTGCTGTCAAATTCCACTTCAGCTGCTTTTTTCATAGCTGAAATCAAGGTTGAATGAATCCTCATGTGACCTCCCAATGACTTACCACTAACGCAACTCTTGCTACATATCTTACAAACATGTCTCTGTTGTCGCACTTCTTCCATTGCTAAAGCTAAAAAACCAGATGAGCAAATTCAAGAAAAGTCAAATTTTCTATTAAAAAAAATGCTAAATCCAACATCCCATTAAGAGGAAAATACCCAAGAATTCTATAGAAACAGAGAATTACTTGAAAATCAGATCAGGAAAAAAACCCACAATGGATTAGCAGGAACAAGATCCGGCAACTCGAAAAGTGTTAAAGGGAACCCTCATAAAACGGTGGTTTAGACTCGATTGAACTCTCCATTTACCCAAAGAAAAATATCCAAGTGAAGAGATAAAGGGCTGTTTGGCAGTGATGTATGCTCCGATAAAACAGGACACGTACTGAATTCTCTCTCTCTTCCCCTCCCCCTCTAAAATCTTAAATATTGATGGTGGCTTTGGGCTTGTAATAGAAGAATTGAAGCCTTGCATGGAAGCAAAGAAATGACCCACGGACTAGTCATAACGACCTGGAAATGAGAAAGTAATTTCATGATTTGTATTTTGTGGTGACTTCTTGGGATTGAAAAGAGAAAATTTTATTTGGAATCACTGGCGGACCCAGGGGTCCTCGGGCACGTGACCCCAACTTTTGAGAAATTATTTATTTTTTTCAAGTCGCATTCAATATCGATTAAAATCTAAATTTTAATTTAAGGTAAAGTTAACAATTAATTTTAATAACATATTTCATGAAATTCATAACTATTTAATTTTTACCAAAATTTACTAAAAATTTGATTTTAATCTCCACCAAATATGGGCAAAATCACAATAAATTTGAATTTCGATAACATGTTAATTTTAAAAATTCTCTGACGATCATACACTAATCAAATCTACAAATTGCATATGTCATCTCAAAACTTATTTCGAGAACTACATTATGGACATATCAAATAATCCAAACAAATATCGAAAATAGTTAAAAATACGTTAAACGTGAGTTTTAAAGAAAGACGTTTAACTCACATTTTCTTTAAAAAAATTCAATTATTTCATTAACATTTATTATTTTTGCAATACAAATTTCTTAATGTAATTTTCATCATTTTATTAGGAAATTTTATATGGAATATGACATAAAAAAATTTAGAAATTTTACATCTAAAAAATTCATATCCCGTGTAAATTTTCGTAAGCAAAATTCTATGGATTTTTTTGGACGTAAATTTTCGATTGTAAAATTTTTCTCAATTTCTTTGTAAGTTCGATTGTGCCCCATAACTTTAAACTTTTGCGTCCGCCCCTGACAACTGTGATGATGATAAAGATATG